TGCGTGGGTTTTTAGAGCCAAATTTAGTTAGGATGTTTTTATCAAATAGAGCTATTAGGTAGTGTGGTTTTGTAAACCGTGCAAGGTGGGGTTTTCTGAAGATATTTTGTCATTTCTTTGCTCTGTCCTAATTTGACCCTAAGATGAAGAAAAACTAAATTAAATGTTGAGGGTACTCCGGTATTCTGAAAATTTTGACACATGACCAAAGTAAGGGTTTTTTTTAAATAACCGAGCATGTAGTAGACTAGACTTGTTACGAGTCCATCTCTTCTTTTGCTCAGCCTCGTCATCATTTGCTTCTTTTGCTCACAATTCTGTCCTAATTTTTCCAAGTAGTCGATTCAATTGAGAAAGAAATGTTTACAGAAAACCCCCTGAAAGATTGTAGAAAACCCCTAAAAGTTTGCAAAAACCCCCCCTGAAAGTTTATAGAAAACCCCCAGAAAGTTTACATAAAACCCCTGAAAGTTTGTAGAAAATCCCCTGAAAATTTGCAGAAAAACCCCTGAAAGTTTACAGAAAACCCCCTGAAAGTTTACAGAAAACCTCCTAAAAGTTTACAGAAAACCCCCTAAAAGTTTACATAAAACCCCTAAAAATTTGTAGAAAACACCCTAAAAGTGTGCAGAAAAACCCCTAAAAGTTTACAGAAACCCCCTGAAAGTTTGCAGAAAACCCGCTAAAGTTTACAGAAAACCCCCTGAAAGTTTGCAGAAAACCCCCTAAAAGTTTACAGAAACCCCCAGAAAGTTTGCAGACACCCCCCTAAAAGTTTGCAAAAAACCCCCTGAAAGTTTATAAAAAACCCCCTGAAAGTTTGTAAAAAAACCCTAAAAGTTTGTAAAAAAACCCCTAATAGTTTGCAGAAAATCCCCTAAAAGTTTGCAGAAAAACCCCTAAAAGTTTGTAGAAAACCCCCTGAAAGTTTACAAAAAACCCCCTGAAAGGTTGCAAAAACCCCCTGAAAGGTTGTAAAAAACCTCCTAAAAATTTGCAGAAAACCCCCTGAAAGTTTGTAGAAAATCCCCTAAAAGTTTGGAGAAAACCCCCTGAAAGTTTACAGAAAACCCCTTGAAAGTTTACAGAAACCCCCAGAAAGTTCAGAGAAAACCCCCTGAAAGTTTGCAAAAAACCCCCTGAAAGTTTGCAAAAAGTCCCTTGAAAGTTTGTAAAAAAACCCCTAAAAGTTTACAGGAAAACCCCCCTGAAAGTTTGCAAAAAATCCCCTGAAAGTTTGCAAAAAATCCCTAAAAGTTTACAGAAAACCCCCTGAAAGTTTGCAGTAAACCTCCTGAAAGTTTGTAGAAAACCCCCCTGAAAGTTTGCCAAAAACCCCTGAAAGTTTGCAAGTAGATCCCAGAAACTTACATATATATAGAAGCATCATAATCATAACTAAATGGGTTATTGGGTCACCCATGAACCACCCATTTAGTAAATGGATGGTTGAGAAGTGACCCATTTAGCAAATGCTAAATGGGTCATAAATGGTTAAGTGGTCATAAATGTGCCCACCCATTTATGACCCAACCAAGACCCAATCAAAACCACCCATTTGACATCCCTAGGCAGTAGTTAGCTATGACCACTATAGGCCTGAGGTGGAGAATAGAGTTTTCTGTCGACTAGTGGATGCTTGCTAGTGAGAAAGGAAAATCTCGAGCTGATTATAAAGAACCAGTTAAAGACAATGTTTGCAGGGTACCATGAGAAGTCCTATCGATAGTTTCAATATTGGAATCTGCAAAAGACCGTTCGGAGGCTTAGGTAGCGCCTTTATAAGGACCCTTAGAGCTCTACCAGTAAAGACTTAGAGAGTGATTGATTGGTCACTCTTGTTGGAGTACCGCATCTCTTTTTTTTTTGTTAGCCTTTGTCTTTTGCTCTTTGTATTGCTTGTAGAAAAAAGTCATTACAAATTTCCTTTTATCAATGAAAAATTAGTTTTCTAATGTCTATTTTCTCAAACAATTGCACACGGTCTTGGTTGATCTGGGCGTAGCTCATGTTGAGCATATCCTTTTTTGTGCGGACATGCATCTAACTAAGCATTTGAAATGATCTATGTGTAGACCAACGGGGCGTAGTGGATCATCATTACAAAACTAAGCAGGAGATAATTTGCGCATAGCCAATCTTAAGTGTTTAGCAGATTAGTTCCCTGATTTGTATGGCGTATTAAGAAAAAATTCAACGTGAGCAAACTTTGCGTCTCTTGCAATTTGAGTGAAGAAAATCATGTGTAGGTAAACTGTTCTACTGATAGGGGTGCAGTTTGAGTAGATATAATTGTTTGTATTTCTGTCCTCCATAATTTCACACCTAATCACACTTTGGGCAATGTGATCATGCCACATGCTAGTTTTTGCTTAGTTTCCTGTCTTTATAAGTAAAGGATGAGTGAGAACTATTCTCTACGTGTAGTTCTCCTCTTTCTATCCTTTTTATTTCTCCTTATATGAGAGCGTTGCAGTGATGTTGACCACTTGATAGGGTGATAAATATAATCCAAAGTTGCAAGTGTACAACCATCAAGTTGTAGTATAAAAGATTTTCGAATCCCACGAGGAAGGTGTTGCAGGAATAAATCAAAATTGGTTCTTAAGTTGTGTGTTTGACAATTTAGGAGTGATGAAAGAATTTGGTTGTGGAGAGTAAAGAGAGTGGATGTGATAATATCTAAACTAGATTGAGAGGTGAGAAAGAAAAATGAAGAAAATAAAGAAAAATGAAATCAATAAATAAATAAAGAAAATTAAGAATAAAGAGGAAAATCAAGAACGTAAAAGATGGATGCTTCAATTAGAGATATGAGGAATCTAGAATTAAATTTACTAGCCAATTTCATTTATAGATTATGAACTATTCTTCTTTATCATATTTTATTTTAGATTTATTAAGCATAGACTATCAAACCACTTGAGAAAAGCATAATCTATCAAATTATCATCTAAGTATGATAATATTCATGAAAAGAACAATAACTAGATAGTAATTGTAGAATTCAAAAGTATAACCTACAAAACCATTCAAGATAAGCATAGATTATCAAATTCTTCTTCTACCAATTAGTTCTCAAGTTGATTATCCTAAGCATGATCATTTTAAGCACAAAAGAATAATTGACAAATTATAAAAGAGATCAAGCTAGTTTCATACAATTCTAAAATTTCTACAAAAATTTATTCCACATATTAGAAAATGAAAACAAAGGAATAAAATCTATACTAAAGAGAATAAAAGGAAGAGAAAAGTAAAAACTAATTCCCTAGAGGGTTCTAGCCTCTTGGAGAATAGAATAAAAGGAAGAGAAAATAAAAATTAATTCTCAAGAGGATTCTAGCCTCTTGGAGAATTAGAGAAAAATAATAAAAATAAAAACTAATTCCCAAGAGGGTTCTAGCCTCTTGGAGAATGATGCAAGAAAATAAATCTAAACTATGCAAGAATTTAAATCTATACAAAAATATAAGAAAATAAGACATGAATGCAGATCTACTCTACAAGCATCAAAGTAAATCTAAAACAAGAGTGTTCTAGCCCCTTGAATATTTAAAACAAGAAAATAAAAGATAAAAAAAATTTACATAACAAGAGGGTTCTAGCCTCTTGAAAGCAAAGCTTCATCTTCATATTCGTCTTCATCTTTATATTCAAACAAAGAGAATAAAAGAAAAATATGAAGATGTTAAAAAATTTATTTTATTAATTGCAATAAAGTTATAATTTTTGAAATGTCTTCTCAATTAAGAGTAACCATGCTCTCTAAATGGAGTTTTACAAAAAATTTCGCACTCAAACCCCTCACCTTCTACCTCTATTTATAGCCTACAGTAAGCAACATGAACCATTGAATTTTACTTGGGCTCCAAGGATTAAATCTTAGCCGTAAAATAAGTTTGTTACGAACCAATTGGTTGGCCAACTGATTGGCTAATCAGTTGACCAACCGATGCCGATTAGATTTCGAAAATTCTGAAAATACAGTTAGCTCCATCTCATTGAGGTAGGTGATTTTTATATATTATATATTAAATTTCTTCTTCCGGATTGAGAGATATCGTTGTTTCTTTGTGGCTAATCATCTTGAACATGATTTTAACTTGATTTCTTTTCATATTGGATCCTTGTTTCTTCGGCTTTTGTAGATTGTTTAGTTTGATCTCGGGCTTCAATAAAAGGTTAAAAATGAGGAAATTTGAGTTCTTTTTGAACTTTTATTTATTAATTTTTATTAATCTGTAAATTAAGATAAAACATGTTTATTAGTGATATTTTTATTTAAAAAAATAGATAATAAAGATATAAAAATATAATAAAAATGTAATTATCACCACTAGCTAGTGCTAGACCTTCTAAGCATCCTTGTTGAGTTGTTGGTAGCTAGAGCCAAAGATGGTACTCACGATAGACCCTGTGCTAAAGTCGCTATAGGAGCAAGTGCAGGAGTTATAGGACCTCCACAACACTATCGAGGACTGAAGGACGAGTGCCAGTCCATTAATGAATCCAATAGTCATATTTTCCATTATCTGAACAAGGTGGGACATGAGCTGTGCAACATTAAGTGCAGTATCAGCAATATGTTTGACACCATGCAGTGCTATAAGCGATGTATCACGTGCTTGGGAGGGAAGATAGCTGACATCTCCTCTAGTGATGGTGATGACGACAGTGATGATGCCTGATTGTGGATATAGTGCACCTTTTGTCTTTTCATTTTCATTTTCTAGTTTTGAAGCTTTAAGCCCCGGTTGGCAAAGAGTTAATGAAGAAGGGTTAAAAAGAAGGATTAATGTACTTACTTAGCCCATTTGATAATCCGAAGGACTAAATTATTAACATATTAAATAAGTTTTATTTTAGCCTTTATGATCAGTTTTAGTTAGGGGTGTTAAACGGGTGGGTTTGGGCATTAAACGGGCGGGTCATAAATGGGCGGGCATGTTTTGCCCATTTACCCATTTATGACCCATTTAACATTTTCTAAATGGGCGGGTTTTTACCCGCCCATTTAATAAACGGGCCGCCCATTTGCCCATTTAACTATAGTAGCTATATATGTATAATACTTTTAGGGTATTTTTTGTAAACTTTTAGGGTTTTTTTGTAAACTATTGGAGGATTTTTATAAACTTTTTGAATTATCAAAATATGCACAGGCATGTACATAACCTATTCAGGAATAGCATGAACATATTGAACAAGATAGCATTAAAATTACCAATCATTACACAGGCATTTCCAAATTTACAAAAAATATAATTACAATTTACAAAAAATTTAACTGACCCATCTCCAAATCTCCAAATTTGAGTCAAAAAATTCAACTGACCCATCTCCAAATCTCCAAATTTGGCGGCGGCGAGGGCGATGACGGAGCGTGATTCCCAATTTAGTGCAGTGCGGCCGGATCCTCTGTTGCCTGCAAAGATTGAGAAGAGAATTTTGAAGAAGGGAAAGTGCAAACATTGCAGAAATGCTTCATAAACTCTTGCTTGATATGTTATGGTAGATAACGGCTGCAAGGTTCCTGGCAATTGTATCTCATGAGGTTGAATGATAAGTAGCAATGAAAGGATCATTCTTTTATAATAATGGAAATCTAATGCATATAATATGTATATGTGGATGTCAATGTAATATATATAGTATAAAGATGTGGATATATTTTATTTGCTAGAAGCACAAGGTGTAAAATCTATGAAGGAAAAAGGAAAAAAATATATGTTACCTGCAATATATGTTACTTTGGTGTGATCATCATTGGAGGCAGCTAATACCATTGCCTGCGATTTAATACCCCTCATGGTGGCTGGCTTAAGATTGCAAAGAACACATACCTTTCGATCCTGCACAATTGTCATTGCAATAAATTTCAGTAAAGAAAGAGAAACACAAGGTAATGCCTAAACATATCATATCATAAAAATGATAACGTTAGAGGGACTCACCTGCATTTCTTCAAGAGGAATGAATTTGACTAGACCACTCACAACGGTCCTAGGCAACTCCTCACCTATATCAATCTCTTCCACGTATAGGGAGTCAGCATCTGGATGCTTCTGAACTTTCTTGATGAGACCTACACGAATGTCAAGCCTAGAAACAGAAATTTCTGCTTCTGAGGGTTTTGGTTTTGCAGCACCTATGGACTTCACCTTTTGTTTCTTTGCATTCCCTTCTGCACCAGATAAAAAGAAAGAAAAACTGTTAGTATATGCATGTAACTGTTAATATATGTACCCAAAAAGCAGGAAAAGATCTTGTGCCAGTGCTCGTGTACATATGTGTGTTCACATAATTCCTTAAGGTCACGGATTAGCATTCGAGTCACACACACACACGTACATATGTGCATTCACATACTGCCTTAAGGCCACATCTGTGTTCGCGCGTGTGACATATCAAACCGGATTGGTAGGCTCTAAAATCTGCACATTATAATATTTGAGGAGAACAGAAAATATGGTAAACCAAGAAACACCAACTTATGGATACGAGTGTTGTTTAACTCAGATTCTGGAAGTTGCATATGTTACTTTCAATTTGACATGATGTACCAACCTAAACAACGCTCTTTAAAAATCCACACAGGAACATATCAGAAGTTTATAAAAGAAATTAAAGCAGGTACTGCAAGAATCACGAGAAGTAACAAGCAGAATGCATATAAGTTCAGAAAGTAACCAATCGGTTGATTCGCTAAACTATGATAAGGCTTATTTTTCAGAGGTAATATATGACATACTTGTTCAATCAGTAAGCACATGACTCCAGCCACTGAAGTCTGAGCTGTCTTGTATTATGTTTCTATCTCCTGAGAGAGGTAATAGACAAGAGAGGTTAAGGTTGAAGACATCCAAATACTCAGTCTCAGCATCATAGTACGAGAAAAAAAGGCTAGAATACTTCAAATAAAAAAAGAAAAGGAAAAAAAAAGATCTGGACTAATTCACTAAAATAATAGTAAGCAAGAAGAAAAAAACTGCATGTTATGGTAATATTAACCAGGTTCCTTGGAAACACTATGTATAAACAATATATGAAACATAAATGAGCTATGCCTTAAAAAGCAAGTGAAACGACATCGATATTTGATTCAATTTTGGTCAAGAGAATGCACGTATCCAAAACATCATCCTAGGATGATCCCATGCAGCTCCTTCAAACCCACTTTCACCTCACACATAGACACAAACACAAACTAGTTTCAGCTATGATCTGGTTAGATAAATACAACGTCACACATGTGAACATGCTTCCAAGTAAATAAGCAGTAACCATAATTTTTTATTTTATTCGTAACCTTCTCCACTTTGGACTGGCTTCTCCTGCCTCTAGCAAAACCAATCACTCTTACTACACATGCAAAGAATCATCTAAATAAGCTTTAGCCACTCTGAAACATGTTAAACGTATTACTGAAACAGCTCCTTCACCAGTGATCTGTTATAAAACTCAAACCAAGTCTAGGCTTGGATACCAACTACTTTTACTATCTCAAACATACTTCCCCTTTTTGGTATAACTACTAAACTATTACTATAAACCTGATGGCTAACTAAAATCCATTTCTATCATAGATTGCCATTAATGATCTTCCGATATACATATATGTACACCTCTCTTAACTTTCTTTTATTTACGACATTCAAATAAAGTCTTTAAAACTCTTATAGTATGTGTAACTCTTGCAGTGGTGATGATGATCACTATTAAAGATGCAATCTACCATTCAAAAACTGAAAAACAATATAATATATGTGAAACATTTTTTTTAAGAAGGAATTTCAATAACATACTTCTCTTTAACACTTTCATCATCTTTCTTATTGCATTAAGAAAACAACTTCCTTATACAAAATGCAACCATAAGTTGAAACCAAAGAGTACTCTGAACTAATCCAAATAATATTCCCAAATTCAAGAGTCTTACCTAACCCAGCTTAAATCATATATCTTTCACCAACTACCCTTTACCAGCTTCAACATGAAGAAATAGTACTTTAAGACAATGAGCTATCATTCAAATAATTTTGGTTAGCAGTGAATTATAAATTATAAATTACATTAAAAAATCTAAATTCCTGCCATTTCCCATTACAACAAAGCTACTAAACAATAGCAGCTAATTAGTAAAACTTTTTTAAAAAGGATCTAATAGAAATTAGAAGATAAAGCCCATATCAATTGAAAATTTTAAAACCGTAGAAACTAAATCAAAATAAGGAATAATTGTAATTTAAAATAAATCCTAGAATATAAAATTACCTTCTCTTGATCTGAGGATTGGGGATCAAAGATAAGAGGAGATCGAAGGGCAGGAGAAGAGATCTAGGTCGAGAAGTGGAGATCGAAGGAGAAGAGATCAGAGGCCAGAGGTGATCGAAGGCAGAGCTCGAGCTCAAGGGAGAGAGGAGATCGGAGGCCGGAGGTCGAGGTCGAGCTCGAGGGGAGAGGAGGAGGTCAGAAGCTAGAGGTCGAGCTCGAGCTCGAGCTAGAGATGAAGAGGAGAGAAAATCGTGATTTTTGAGATCGGGTAGTTTCTGAAGGGTGAAGAGTGAAGGCGAAGGGTTTGCTGGAGTCGGGTTTTGGTTTTGGGAGTATGGGTGGGCAAACGGGTGCATATAGACCGCCCATTTAGCACCCATTTAGTTTGGTTTGAGAGGAACCCGCCCGATTAGACCCATTTAACTAAATGGGTGGGTTTTGGGCGGGCCAAATGATGGGTGGGTCAGGTGGGCAAATGGGTTTGGGCAAAATCTGCCTTCCCTAGTTTTAGTGTTTGAGAATAACAATGATTTTGACTATTTTCTTTATAATTAGAAGGATTAACTCTTATTCCATCTAAATAGGAGTATTAGTAAACCCCTCATTTTGAGGGGTTAACTCATTTTAACCCCTCTAGAGGGGTTAACTTAACCCTTCTATATTTTTTATGTTTGGCAAATTATGGAGGGTTAACTCACTTTAACCCTTATATAAATTTTTTGTGTTTGGCAGGTTAAGAAGGGGTTAAGTCTCCTTAACCCCTCACTTAACCCTTTGCCAAACGGTACCTTAAACTTCTTTTTTTTTCTTCTGTTTTTGTGTGTTGGTTGTGGCTGTAGTCTTCTTTTCTTTTTTTGTTTGTAGATAATGAATGGCCATAGTGGCTTTCCTTATCCACATTTGCATTGCAAGGAACAAACTTTAATTGAACTAATCCACTTTTTAGAATTGTACTTGAATTAATTCATGCACTGTTTAAGAAACGAGCACATACAAATTGCACGCTATGCCGAAACTCAGCGTGAACGGATCATGTGTAAATGAGCAAGAAAGATTATTCGGTATTCCTATCTTATTTATTTGAGCACGTAGAGTGGAGTGCGGTTATAATCACATCTTGAATGACATAATTTTGCCATGAGGCAGTCATTGATTTGTCCTTGGCGGGACAGCTTTTGCGCTCACTTACGTCCTTTCTACTATTCTTCACCATGGTCAAGCCTAATTTTGAATTTGCTTCTCATGCTAGGTTTGGTCACACAAAGTTGTTCCATATATTGTTGTCACCTTTTTGCTTTACATGGGGTTTTGACAACTTAGTCTCACACAAGGTTTTCGACACTAATGAGTTGTCTCTTCCTCTCTATGGAAGTCTTGACAATTTAGTGAAGATACCCCACCATGTTAGAGTCAATCACTCTTTTTGTACTAATTGAGGCTCTTTTATCTTTTTGTAGTGGCATTTTTTGAGGAACCTCATGATCTTGGTAGTCAGCTGAGCTCAAGTGAAGAGAACAAGATGTTGGATAGTAGTATTCCTAATCTATTTTGGTAACATGAGGTTATTAGAATTCCTAATCTGTTTTGGTAACATGAGGTTATTAGGATTCCTATTTTGTTTTGTTTTTGGTTTTAGGATTCCTAGTATGTTTTGGTTTTAGTTTTTCTATATATATGGAGATTAAAATCAATCATCAAAAGAGAGGAGAGTTGTAATCAGAGATTAGAGAGACTTTTGAGCATTGTGAGAGAAATCAATCATCAAAAGAGAGGAGAGTTGTAATCAGAGATTAGAGAGACTTTTGAGCATTGTGAGAGGGAGATATTGTGAGCAAGTTGAGAGCTTTGGTTGAGGGTTAGTTTATGAGTTTTGTGAGATTGTTACTCTTTGTACTCTCCTTGATTTAGTGGAATCTCCTCATCCTCTCCTCGTGGACATAGACAATTTGCTGAACCACGTAAAATTGGTTGTCTCGCTATTTGTGTGATTTGTAATAGTTTATTTAGGTTCTCTCGACAAGTCAGTCCTATAACTGATGAGAGGAAGAGCTGATATCCCACTTTGTTGAAATATTTTGCTTAAGGTTCTTGTTTCCTTGGTAAAACAGGAATTCCTATTACGACCTGTATCTCTTGTTATGCTACCGAAGTACTATCGAAACTTCCGCTGCGGGCAACAGAAGATTCACGAGTACTCCTATCCTAGCACTTTGTCAATATTTGGTACCCACGATCTTGAGTTGGAGAGGGTAGTGCTGCACCCTAACCCTTTGCAATTCTATGCTATGGTCAACGAGAGTGCCCTCACTGTGGTTAAGCACTCTCCCCTCTGAAAACCTGTTTATTTATTTAGGGTGAAGCGACGTGGTGAGGTCCTCCGTAAAATTCCCATTGGTTGTACACCATTGATTAATTGCAATTCTATCTCCTGGTCTAGAATGTCATCCTTCACTATACTACTTTTGACTCACTACCCATCCACGAATGATGTCTTCGGTTGTCGCGCCTCTCTTCGCATCAACATCTCCTGAGGGTAGGTTTTATAACTAAGTTGTAAGGATGTGGGTTTGAGCCACCTCGAGGGTCTAAACCTAGGTATTGTCTAGAAGTTTCCTGCTAATGTATATAAGTCACGAGCAGGCATCTTCAGAAATAGGTTTAGGGGCTGTTTGGATTGATTTTTTGGATAGGTAAAAGAGGGGAAAGCTGCCAAAAATGTCAGCTTTTTGATTTTGGGGGAAAGCTGCCAAAAAACTGACATTTTTGGCAGCTTTCCCCTCTTTTACCTATCCAAAAAATCAATCCAAACAGCCCCTTATTGATGCTAACGGGGAATATCATGCACAAGATTTCTGTTTCCAAGGGTGGGACTTCTCCACCCCAAATAACTGGTGGGATAAATTAGTGACCCTTGTCCTGACCCACTACAAAAAAAGGGCTTTACAGCAACATGGGATCGCTACAAGTTACCATAACTTATTGGGGGTGTTAGAGTTATACGAAGGAGTCCTTTCAGGATGGTTGTTTTGAAGTATACTGGGAGCTCATGTGTCACTACTAGATATTCTTTCATATGAAGAAAATTCATGATGGTAGCATCAATTTGAGGACTTGGATCAGGTACTTATTTTAGCAATCTCCCGGTCTAATGTCGAGGTGAACATGAAGCAAAGCAATCATCTCTGACTTTCACTGTCCATGGGTGAATATGAAAGCTATCATCACCAAGTACTATATGGATTGAGCTTAATGTCTTCTAGAAGATGAATTATGCAGTCTTCCTGAATAGATTTGATGATCAAGGCAACTAGACAAAGCTTCTTCCAGTTGCCTTCACTTGGTTGATCAACATTCATCCATCGCAACTTTGATCAGATGTATGTTGGTAGCCCTACTTTGAGATTGGGCACAAGGGGAGTTTGATGGATGGTGCTAGGGCATGGAGTAATTTTGTATTGGGGGTGTACTAGTGCTTCATTTACTCTCCCCAAGGCAAATATCATGCATTATCATCTCATACCTATTTCACTATTGGTGTAACATCGTGAAGGTGTCGCACTTGAGGTACTAGCAATTAGTGTCATGCCTCACTCATATAAATGCCTTTTTCATAAAGTAATCTATAATGAAGAGCTACACCAAGTGTTTAAAAGGAATACCAAAAGGCACAATAGTGGGGGTGCTCCCAAACTTGTGTTGGATGAATATAGGATGAATGACGAGGACATTGAGAACTTGTATTGGAACTCTCACTCTCCTCGCCTTTAAATTTTAATTTTTACATAAATCACATTTAAAGTAGGTTTGTGTTGCAATTTGAAGAAACCGTGAGAAAATGGTGAAGAACAGGTTTTGGAAGCGCAGGAGAATTGTTTGGAAGCTGCGCGGTCGACCGCGATGCAAGGCCGATCGACCGTGAGCATGCACAGAGTCTGGGAGGAGTCTGGATTTGGCGCGGTCGACCGTCAGACCCTGTAAGTGATTTTAGGCTCTCTCGTTGGTCGCGGTCGACCGTGGCGGTCGACCGCGTAACGGGTCAGGCCCAGAATTGTTTTCCTGTTCTTATTTGGTTTTGGTATTTGTATAAATACCAATACACGTTCTACGTTTTCGTAAGGCAAGAGTTTGAGATATTTGGAGCACAGAAAAGATGTATTTTCTGAGCTATTTGTTTAGGGTTTATTTGGAGAGATTAAGAGCTTTGTTGGTGATATTAGTTTGTTCCTTCGAGTGATTTGTAATCTCAAGTTGTACTCTTCTTCTCTATTAGTGAAAACCACATCCCCTTCTTGCCCCGTGGATGTAGGTAATTGCCGAACCACGTTAAAATTGTTTGTGTATTGATTTTGGTTGCTTTTGGCCCTCTTTGATCGGCGTTTGATTTTGGTTCCTCGACACGGTTTTCAACAACAATTGGGGTATTTTCAACAACAAGTGGAGAGCGGAGACGTAAGTCGGAAGGACCGAACTCCATGATCATAATTTTCTTGTGCTTGCATTACTCATTTGTCCACTATTTTGTTTATATCGTTTCATGTTTATTTGCCCTTAGTTTGCATATCATTGCTAATAATTCATTGTATATCAATCTTGCTAGGATATATTTGTTAATAATTTTTAATTGGCATTAATATCGGATTAAATTAGCATAAACCTTATTCACCTCTCTAGGGTCTTTCAGTGCATTATGCGTATGTCTATGACTCGAACATAGATGTATTTTCGTGTCTCGAACAGGAATGTATGTCTGTGTGATTTGGACTCTTTTGGTAAATACCAGATCACAACATAGACATAAGATCAGAAAATGGGGGTAAAACCATGCTTAGCGCTCGCTAAAACTAGTTTTATAGTAATAGATATGAAGATTTCGTGTGAAAGTTACAAATATGAAGATCTAGGGGTCCGGTATAATATAAAATAAATTAGGGTTTGATATGAGAAATACCCAAAAATAAAACAGAAAAAAGTTGTCAGCCATCAGTCTCATCGTCTCCGCAAGCACTATGCAACGCTTCCGTGTTTTCCTCCCCCGCGCCACCCGGGCCCACCACTTCCATTTCCAACCCTATCTGGGTCCCACCTCGTCCACATCGCCGACGGTTCTCTTCCGGCGAACTCTATTCCTAGAAACCGTCTCTAATCCTGTCAAGCTGAACAAGCTCTCCGACTCCGACGCCGGTGCTTTTCTCGATTAAGTTTATATTTCCTTTTTCTTTTTTTTTTAACTTGATACTCAGTTGAATTGTGAATTTGGTAGGGATTGTTGAGGTGAAGCTCGATAGAGCTGAGGTCAAGAACGCAATTGGGAAGGAGATGGTCAGAGGATTGCAGAGCGCGTTTGAGTTCATTGATCGAGATTCTTCGGCTAGGGTTATTTTGATTTCTAGCGCGGTTCCTGGGGTTTTCTGCGCTGGTGCTGATCTCAAGGTATTTTGATAAATTTCGTTCTAGTTTAGTTTAAGGTTAAGGGGTTTGTTCACAAATTGTTTACTGGATAAAGGGATAATTAGGGGAAATGAAGAGATTGAGGATGCCTACATGTTTATAATATAAGGATGTGCCTGTGGACATTGCAGACTGTTGCTGCCAATTCCTTTTTTATTTCTTTGATTGAGATTTAACTTTTTTTGGTGAATTTCGAGATGGGGGATGACAGTAACGATTGTTTGTGCTATAACAATATTAATACCTCAAGGTATGGCCTTTATAGGCTTGATAGCATGAAGTTATATTTTACAAAATTGATATCCTAAACTTTAAATTTGTTCTNACACACACCCACACAAACAAAAACCCAAAAAAAATGGTAAGAAAATTTGTTTCTCATCCACTTTTCTATGTTGATATGATATCGTTGAGCAAAATCGTAGCTTTATAAAGTGGTCTAGGCGCCCGCCTAGGTCTTCGGAGCGTCAGACGGAACATAGGCTGTTATGCAGATTGCAAAGCTTAGGTCATGGTCTGATTTTCTTTGCTACAGCCTACACGTCCTCCAACCTCCCGGCCTCCTCCATTGACTCCGAACACGGTCTCCACCTCTCCAACCTTCAGCAAGACCTCCACCAGTTAAAAAAAAATCCGCCTTGGCCCCAACTAGGCACTAGGTGTTAGGTCCAGTGCCTAGCGATAACTAATGCTTTCTCTAACACTGAGAAAGATTTAGGTCAATTCTTTTGTACTTTTGGGTATAAAATTGTGACAATATATTGTTTTCGTCGAAAATTACTTTCATTGTTGAATCCATTAAAACTTCAGTCGCTTACAACGAATTATAATGAAAAATGAGAAAATTACAACTTTCTAGAAAATAACACAAAAATCGTTTGTCGATTTCTGCTTTTGTGGGACTTTACCTGTGTCGGGAGTGCGTTGGCTCGTGGACCACCGATTCACAGATTTTGATCGAATTGTGAAGACTTTGGGTATTCTTCCTTCGTTTAGAAACAAGAATGAAATCAATGAATATCTTATCAACGTAAGATGAACACTCTTCTCAAGATCAAGTCAAAGCTCAAATCTTAAGGAATCCTTATCAACGTAAGATGAACACTCTTCTCAAGATCAAGTCAAAGCTCAAATCTTAAGGAATCACCAAAAAGGCTCAAGTTTTCTATTCTATCTGCTCTCAAGATCAAGTCAAAGCTCAAATCTTAAGGAATCACCAAAAAGGCTCAAGTTTTCTATTCTATCTGCTCTCTGTGCTCGTATATTTGTTAATAACGGTCCTAGGGGGTATTTATAGCCCTTAGGAACAATAACTGTCTCGGAAACTATGATTTCTCTTTATGCTTCCAATGCTTGTCTTACACTATGAAACTCGTGTGATGTGCTTCTTGATGCACCATTTGGTTGATCTTTAACTTTGTATGATCCGCTATAACTGAGGTGATGACGTTTATCGCCTTCTCCCTGTCTTGAATCATGTACGATAATCTATAGGCAATTTTTTTTTGACGCCTACATATATGTTTAGGGTAAAGTTAAAAGGGTGAAACTCAGGGGTACTAAAGTATAAATAATCCTTTGAAAAAACAAAAAAGGGAAAATGGGTTGTGTATGTTAACATAATCTAGTGTACTTAAGTATCAAGATTATAAGTTCAGAAAATGCTCTCTCTTTGTTGAGCTTGGCATTAACAAGAAAAGGTTCCTTCAAAAGGTGTTGTTGTGAGCCTATAACACCAAGTACAGAGGCATATATGTTATCACCAATTCACCATTGAGCCTGGACCTGTCGCAGGATATGCTTAAAATAAATAATGAAGTAATAATAATGCTTATTCTCTCGTCATTTTGGTATTACGACGGAGAAGTGGAATCCAGAGTTATCTACTCACTACGCTGTTGCAACAAGACTTTCTTTTATCTGAGAACTTTTGTGATTAACTATACTTTTTCTTCCAATTAATTGTCTCCACCCATGTTTATTTAGGTCCTACCTTTAGTCCTAGGTCTTACCTTTAGCCCTTGCTACTCTATAAATAATTTCTTGTACCATAGCCATTCATGAATGTTAATTTATGTCAATTGAAAAAATGACTATGGCAATAGTTCTCAATGAAAAATTTATGACAACTATATGTTATTTATTTATATGAACGAGTTTTCTGCATTCATTTCTCTTGATCACTTATCCTTTTTACCTCAACATGTTTCTTTTCTTTGTATATTGTTCTTTTTTTTATTGCTGACTTCTGGATTATCGCTTTATTTCCTTTTTGGTTTTCGTCTCATTCTTGGCTTGATGATTTATTAGATATCATTTAGTTCTACCACTCTGCATACCATGATCTTCCCCAAAAGTAGAATAAAGGTCATTTATAAAGTTTCTTTGTATATGGAACAAGGACTTCTTCTAGCCATCCTCTGTATTTTTGTATCTCTTATTTGCAATAGATACCTTTTAGATGGGATTATATTTGATTCTGTCAAAACAATATTATTCGATAATGTAAAATTAATTATGTTTTTAGATGACAATCACGAACGTGTGCATTTGCACATGGTGTCTGCATGCATGTGACTGTGTATGAGTGTGTTCCTGTGTATGCACATCTATGTAGCACGGACACGGGTCCGACACGGCCATCCGACACGCCGACACGAGGCAAATCCTAAAAAATACATAGGATACGTGTGTTCGACACGTGTGTCCGACACGGACACGACACGACATGGCTTCATGTTATGCGTGTCCGTGCTTCATAGATGCACATGCATGTATACGAGGCTGAGTGTGTGCGTGGTTGTGTTTTTTGTGTTTCTATGTATTCATGAGTTTAGTTTCATTAGAGAACTACATATGGGAGTATATATGCATATCTTTCTGCTTTGGTATACTGCATATTCCCTAAGTAGCTCTTTCCAAGACACGTTGACAAGTATAATGCAATAATTGAGTTATCTGGTTATTTCTGACCGAAAACAAATGATTTTTCATTAACCAGCAAGCACTAGGAGCCAATTCAGCCAATTTTGTTCACCCACAATGAAAGTAAATCTTGTCGCAAAGTCACTTTTATGAATGTGACTGGAAGAGTCAGTTGAGATTGTAGAATTGCTATGATCTTCTAGATACAGTTGAACTGTCAATTCAGAATGATCCCAGTCTCCAAGAATGTTATTACTGAGATACATTGTTTTGAATGAAAAACGGAAATATCAAACATACATGTGAATGGTTTGATTTCTCAACTTTTCTTTTTAGAAATATTTGGTGATTAAACCAGCTGACATTCTTACTTTATATTTTGGGTGCAATATGTTGATACTCTTACCTTGCATTCTTAGCATGAAAGACTTCAATGGCAACTGCAACGCAGACTACAGTATAATCAATTGGCAGCGAATATTATTTGTGGCAATGCTGTAAACTTGCCAATGTGCTTCCAATCCAGATAGAATACGGATTTGTAACTGGACAAAGGGTTTACTGTTCTTTTTTTAAACTATGAGAGATAATTCAATGTAAACTTTGACATATGTATTCAGTTTTTTTTGTTGTTCGTGTATTTTGGATATTAGCAGCCTAATTTAAGTGTGGTATTTCAGTTATGTTATGATTAAAACTTATTACAACACAGTACATGTTAAGGTAGTTTCGTGATAATTGTGGTATCCTTTTACCTATTTCCTACTGGTTAATGCCTGTTTATATCGAACCTACGGTTTGTTAATGTGCATGATCCAACGTCTTTCTTTCCGTTCATTCGTGCAAAATGGCTTCTGAGATATATGATAGGCCTTAAAAGTTTGTTCTTAGAGAGTTGTATGATGTCAGTATACATTTTTCATTTGGACAGGTATGTCTGGTAATGTGATTCATCATGCTCTGCATTATACTCGTGTTTTTTCTGTTACATATACATTCATTGCTCATCATACATTTTTCCTGCAGGAGCGCAAGAAGCAGACTTCTTCGGAGGTCCATCAATTCGTGCACTCGTTGCGCTCAACATTCTCTTCGTTGGAGGTTTGTGCCCACCCTTTTACTTTACGCCTTTCTTTCTCTGTAACAATGAAATGTTAGTAACTTGTTTTAGTTAGTTTCATAACATAGGACTGTTTCGGAATTAAAATATACCATTAAAATTGCTTCAAGGTAACTTAAGTAAAAATCAACAGATGATTCTTGGATGCCAAATCAGATCTAGTGATGATTGATTGGACTGCTTGTTTGGGTTCGCTGATTTCAAGTTCTGTTTCTCTTTACTTGTTCCATTTGCCACGTTAAGGATGCCATATGAACAACTAATCTAGTACTTATAGTGGGGCATTTTCTACATGGAAAATGTCGAAAGTTTTCATCCCATGTTTTTTGTGTACTTCAATATTCTGTAATTAATAATTATTTTCATGTTGTTTCTATTTAGCTAATATTTAGTTCCAAGCTTTTGTTGCGGGTATATTTAATATCATCTCTAGGCAGTCAGCTTTTATTTTGCATTATTAGTTGAGGTCCTTTTGGATAGAAATAATACCTGTTGATGTGGCTGGAGGGCTGTCTTTTGTCCACTGTTCCGGGAAGCCTCTCAGGTCTATCACATCCTTTTCTGGTCTATTCTCTCACTAATAAATGTATGTCATTTGCTGCATGAGCAGGCACTCCCTCTTCCTACAATTGCTGTTATTGAAGGAGCTGCTCTGGGGGGAGGACTAGAGTTGGTTCTTTCTTGTGATCTTCGTGTATGCGGTATATACTCCTAGAAAGGTTATGAGTTCAATAAATGTATTATATTCTTTTGGTTGTGAGACTTAAAATCTCAAATTAGGAATTGTTTCTGATCATGGCACATAGGAGAGGATGCAAGATTTGGCATGCCAGAAACTGGACTCGCTATTATCCCTGGGTATGTGTTCAAGCGAATAATTTGAGAATTTTTAAGCTTTGTGCCTCGTAAATGAGACTGAGCATTTTGGATGTTACTGTTTTCAAGGAAATGTCAATGCTGTTTATATCACTATTGTTAAGTAAATAAGAAAAAATGCTTGTCGATGCAGCATTCATTATTTTGCTAGAATGCTGTCACCTTCTTTGTCCTGAGTAAACCTAACAGTTAACATGGTGTGAACTGACTGTCATATCTGAAAAGTTTCTTACTGGAATGCTTCCAGATTACATGATTATCTCTGTTTAAAAGAAATTATATAGGATCAAATTTGAAATTTGCACAGCAAATATGTCTGAACATCTCTTTGGATTTTTACAGGGCTGGTGGGACACACAGACTCCCTAGGGTAGTTGGAAGATCAATTGCTAAGGAACTTGTATTTACTGGTCGGAGAGTTGATGGCAAGGAAGCTTTATCCATGGGTACATCTTGTGATAGGAAATTGCTTTTAGCAAGCAGGCTAGCTTATCTGCAACTCTTATCACTTGTATCATTCATATGGTGATTTTTTTTTCACAGGACTCGTCAATCATTGTGTTTCTGCTGGCAAGGCATACTTAAAGGCTCTTCAAATTGCCCGAGATATAAACCAGAAGGTAAGAACTAGGAAGTGTCGCTATTTGCAAAGGCGGTTGTAGTGTAGTTTGTTTCATGCAACTCCAGCTTTTCATAACTATGTTTGCAAAATTGCGTCATTTTTTGCAAAAAAGAGTTACAATCAAACTGCAATTTATATTTTCCGTGAACCCTACCCCTGAATCTACTATATCTGTCAACAACTCCAGATTGCAACAAAGATATTATGAGCAAACTATACCTATTTTTATGTTATCAAATCTAGTATCAAACTAATGATTGAATCCATGCTATATTTCATTACCAGATATTTAACCTCGACTTTTTTTTTCCCATTAAAAATACCTTCCTTCTTTTACTAGGGTCCATTGGCTATAAGGATGGCTAAGAAAGCTATCAGTCAGGGAGTAGAAGCAGAAATGTCATCGGCACTTGCTGTGGAAGAAGAATGTTATGCGCAGCTTCTCAACACCGAGGATCGTCTTGAGGGTTTAGCTGCATTTGCAGAGAAGAGAAAACCAAGATACACTGGAAAATAGGACCTAAGAAGCATCGCCATTTATCTCATATTGACAGAAGATGAATATGGGACATTAATTCAGCAGGTCAATACCTTGAAATGGCTGGTTACGTTGTAATAAGCCATATTTCTGCCTTTTTACTAGAAAATTATTGTGTTCATTGAGTGTTCTGTGTCGCTCTATGTTCACAGACGCAGCTACTGGGATTTATAAATAAGAGGCGAATGAAGATCTGCACGGTAAAGTAGGATGAAGTAAATAAGGGCCGCAAAGTTCAGTTTTTGTACGTCATACAGGGAAATTTCCCTCCAGTATCTGCTGGTGAGCGAGAGTTTTAATCCTACTTATTTTTCACTGTTTAAAAGGGTGAAAGTGTATTTAATACTAGAACCTTTTCGTTTCCCTTGCCAACTTCCAAATATACAAACGCACTTTACATGACATTGCTGATGGGGATTCGCTCTCTCTTACCTTGATGGAAGAACGTAGTTTCAGGCTTTCCTTCCACTCCCGGTCTTGTCAGGGCGAGCTAGGTGCTGCTGCGAGATGGAGATTAACTCGTCTCTGTGTTATACATCCAGGAGCTTCCTCCATCTCCTAATCTTCTGGTCTCGTACCAACAGGTAGTTTCCAATCAAAATGAGACTCGAAGATTCGCAAGCGTAGCTCCCGAGTCTTCGACAATAGATAACTGCTGGTTCACTGCACAAGCCCTTCGACCTGAAAACAAAAGGGCTAAACTGGAAATCACGCCTTTTGTTAATTTATGAAACCATTCAAAAATCTCTCGGATTGAGCGTTCATTGCCAGTTACCTAAGCTAGTTTATGCGTTTTTAACGGCTCTTGTTTACTACGAATTTCATAGCCTTGTGCATGAGTATCCTCCGTTACTTGGCGTAGAACAAGGCTAGCAATTGATTGGTCGGGTGCGATCCCAAGGTCTCCATCACCGACTTCCAAGTTCATTTTGATCAAGTCCTCTTTCGTTACTATGTTCTTTAGGCCAACTTTACCTCCTAATTCATTTTGCATCTTCTTCACGACTTCTGATTTTGTCACGAGCTCTGCCATTGCCCATTCTAGGGCCAATACTGTTGCTATACTTCCAGCAACAAATGTGTCCTAGAAAATTATCTGATGTAAAAAGACCAACCTTAGCATAAAGATCAAACAATAAACACCATTTCAAAGCACTGATACATAGGTTACCTCGGTAAGAGCTTTGATGCTATCCTTGTCCGAGTGAAGTCCAGAGGAAGCAAGATATGAATGAAGGAATCCTGCTCGAACCCGTGACCTACGATTTACTGTCAACACAGTGATCGAACGTCAGTAGAAGTGAGAGAAGCGGGAGAGACGTTTTTCTCGAGTGAGAAGGTGGGAGAGGCATTTTTCTTGTTCAGTGTCAGATACATCTCCTTTTCAACTTTTATTTTTCATTTTATTTTTTTATTGTTGAAGATAAGAATACAAAAAACGGAGAAGTCTATAAAAACTAACTACATTCTCGCTCAACAAAGCATGAAGACGCTCATATGATAAAATCAAAGAACCACACAAATCCAAAACTTCCCGAACTCATCTAGGAACGCACCCAATGGCTGACGATTATAATTTCCTTCAGGAAAGCAAAGAAATCAGCTGTGGGCAAAGCCCGTGCACCATCGCCATGAAACTCTCTGTGCTTTGCTGATATACCCTCTCTTTCGGAATAGGAAATGACCCCATAAGATCACCTTTATAACCTCAAATAATACCACCAACGCTAGAATATCCTGTGGTGCTCCTATAACTCCCATCCCCATTAAGCTTATAGAGTCTTCCGCGCACGCCATCTCGAGCTGCTCGATGGACGAACCTCTAGACTTTGACATATCTCGCACTTCCTGGGCTTGACGCCATTCCAACAAAAACGCAGCCACCCTGTTCCAAATAGTTCCCCTACCTACTAGCAAAGGCCCCTTGTAAATGCTTTTATTTCTCACATTCAAAGCAAAGCAACGACCAACCCCAAAACCTCAGAATCCTTCGACTCCATCTTGTTAAAATAGAACATGAACCATACGTGAGAATTTTCTTTTGGCCATAAACGCTCAACCACACCTCCCTCCTGTAGTCCAAAATCATTATCACACTTTGCTAGGGCGTGCACGATAGTTTCATACTGTTTCGCGCACCGAGAGCACATGGGATTAGATGTAATATGTTGTCGATATAAATTGTCGCCATAAAAAATGTTTCACTTTATTCGGGAATTTTAAGCCCTCGAATAATATCAAAAGGTTTCAAGGGCTCAGCCATGACATTGCCCTGACCTATATTGTTCTGCTTCTTTTCCTCCTCAACTGCAATCTCGCACGTTGACCAAACACTAAACTCACCCAAGCCCGTGTAAAGCCACACCAAAACATCAAGTCTTAGGTTCTCTAGCAGTGGTATTTGCAGGATTCTCTCCACATACATCACCCGTAAGCATTGTCGAAGTTCGATCAGCCACATCTCATGTAGTGTCAACTGGGCTAGTAAGACCAGGAACTCTCAAATCAGGCTGGACCTCATTTGTAGGCGCGATTACTTAGAAAGCCAGAGGAATAGAAAACCATCGATCCTTTCAAATTCCAATGCTTTGCCCATTGCCAACCCTCCGTTGAATACCTCCCTCTACCCAAAGTCGAGCCCCAATGATGATACGCCAAATATATGAGAGATTTTAACCAATCGTAGTGTAGAAAACTGACCTCGACGGCGACAGCGGCGATCTCATCGGAGATGGAGGCAACGACCGGTGACTTTGAGCGACGGCGTGGAACCGCGAGCGGCGATAGTGAGGGGCGACGAGGACCGGCGACTTTGATCTCGCCTTCGTAGCTCTTGCGGGAGAGATGTGGACTTCGAAGCTCGCCTGCAGATGCGGATCGCCAGGAACTCGCCTGAAGGATTGGTGAGCTCACCTGTTCTAAGGGGGCAGCTTTGATTTCGCCTGTTGCCCATAAGGTCGCCTGAAGCCCTCGATTTCGCCTGTGTGTTTCTTGCCTGTCGGTTGGGAACAGCTGGGATCCTGCTGGAGACCTAGGGTTTCCCTATAAAAGGGAAACCTTGTTCACGAGATCATTAGAGCAGCTCGCTCGCGATTTTTCGCGTTTTCTCACCTCTGTGACGGCGACTCTTCTCAAGGTCAATTGATAAGTGAATTTTTCGGTGAAGAAAAATTGCACAGTCCTGTAGCAAATATTTACTACAGTGAAGAGTTATTGTTGTGAGAGATCTCAAGTAGAAAAATTGCACAGTCCTGTAGCAAATATTTACTACAGTGAAGAGTTATTGTTGTGAGAGATCTCAAGTTAGTGATTCTCTCTTTTACAAGCGAGTTATTGTTGTGAGAGATCTCAAGTTAGTGATTCTCTCTTTTACAAGCTTTGTAATTTCTTGTGGTTATATAAAAAAGTATTTATGCGGCTCCCGTGGACGTAGCCAAGTTTGCCGAAATACGTAAATTTGTTGTATCGTCTCATATACTTACTGTTTTATCTGTGTAGTCGTTTATTGCTTGTATTGGTTAGTTTGAGTTTGGCTTAAACTCGAGTTAGGATTGTTTTCTCTCGGGATTAATTAGCTTCCGTGGCGGTGTGGGCGTATCGCGCACCCAACAATTGGTATCAGAGTCATTGTTCAGATTGGAGGTGGTAAAATTTTCAATTTGAGGTGGTGCTTGATTATTATTAAAATTACTGAGAGAATTGGATTTATTAATACAAGCAGAGAATGACGTCTACAAGTAAAACAGTTAAAGTGGGAAAGTATGAGATCGAGAAATTCAATGGGAAGAATGATTTTTCTTATTGGAGGATGCAGATGAAAAATTCACTGATTTCGCGGAAATTGCACAAGGCCTTGGCGGGAAAAGAGAAGAAGCACAAGGATATGTCTGACGATGATTGGGAGGAGTTGGATCTGGAAGCACGGGCGTCGATTATCCTTTGCCTTGAAAGGGATGTAGCTTTCTTGGTAGATGGAGAGGTAACGGCTGCGGGCGTGTGGTTGAAGTTAGAAAGTACCTTCATGACGAAGTGTCTAACAAACCGGATCTATTTGAAATTCAAATTATATACTTATAAGATGGAGGAAGGCTCATCAATCCGGGAATACATCAACAAGTTCGATAGGATCTTATCGGATTTGAAAGACATTGAGGTGACAGTGGAAGACGAGGATCAGACACTTCTACTACTTCTATCTCTGCCGAAGTCTTATTGAATCTGATTCAAACATTGATGCTTGTGGGTGACAATTTGTCGATGGATGAGACTAGGATGGCGCTTCTAGCGGATGATCTTCGAAAAATTACAACTAGTGATATGGTCACTGGTGATAACAAAGCACAAGCGCATGGGTTTTTTGCTAGAGGAAGGGGCAACGAGTGAGGAAAAGGCAATGGAGGAAAGTATAGATCAAAATCAAGACCTCTTGCGAAAAGACCGTGTTTCAAATGCGGTGAACTAGGGCATTTCAAAGTGTTTGTTGGAAATTTGCAGTAAAAAGATAATGAAAGAAAAATTGACTTGTATTCCTCTCAAAATCGATTACAATTTGGATTTCGATTACAAAAGAGAGGAGAATGAATTTGATTCTCCCCTTTGTTTAAAACTGGGTTCTTCTTGGTAGCGGTGGAGTGCCTCCTTCGATTGATCGCGTCGAACTTGCTCTCCGTTGACGATCCGACCGTCCTTCTTCACTGGAACAATTGAAGTGCTTGATGACTTCGGTTTAGAACTCTTAACGAGTGTAAAGAACTCTGAACGAGTTAAGAACTCTGATAAGAGTTGTTGAAAACCGAATGTCTGGTTTGATGTGATTAACTTGCGTTGCAAGCTAATTAAGAACTCTTAACGAGTTTAAGAACTCAGAATGAGTTAAAACTCTGTAACAGAGTTGTTGGAACCGAAAATTCGGTTAATTGCCAAGTGGATGATACCTTTGATGAAAGGATCCTTCGGGATTTGATTAACTGATCGTTGATCAGTTCCTTGATCTCCCGAAGATCTCTTCCTTCCGATTACTCAACTGCCGAGATTTGTTGACCTTGGGTGGTTTTGATACCAGCTCCCCTCAACTCTTTGCGGTTTTGATCTCAGAAACCGATTGATCAACCTATCAACCCGCCAACCCCTTACTCAGTTGAGTAAGTTGGTTATTTATAGGGTGATGTGGAGTGCAACCAACCCCTATTTCCGCTCCTTTGTGGGCGAGAATCCCTCAGAACGTGGGATAACGGTTTTGAGGCCGTT